TACCTATCTTTTCCACTCAGGTGTCCTCAGTAATTGAATTGGTATGTACACATGCAACTAACAGACGATACATAAAATACTAAGAAATTAAGGTTGCCCTGTTACGTATCTCATGCAATACCTTAGATGACTGGTACTTGATTACAATATGAGAAATTTTGTGCTAACTGTGTTAGATAGAATGGTGTTTGCAAATATGAAATCCGCCCATGTTTCTTTATATACAGTCCCAAGCCCATACAAAAGAGGGTTGCAGTAGGTAGATGACCAAAGATAAAACTTTGTCTTAAAGAAGCTCATGTTCATTTGAGTGATGCTGTCTAGAGAACAAACTCGAAGGAAAAAAATACCAAATTTAACATTGTCTAATTTGATAGCAAAAGTATTTAAAAAGTTGGGTATATATTCCTAGTTTCCTTCCATTTTCCCAGGTGTCCCTCACAATCCAATCTGGTTAACATACTTCCGTCATGATCTGCCTAATAAGTAATGACGGATAAATGTCAACAAATGTGTAAATCCATAAAATAAAAGAGTTCAGAAAACTGTTAAGGACAAAGTTTCATTTCTTGGTTGACTGCCCAAATAGGATGGACAAATGCTGCAGGCTACTTTCTATTAATTAAACAATTATTGACAGCTATTGTGAGACCATATTAATATTCATTAGATGTGAATTTCAACTTGACCAAGAAGAATTCTTGAATTGTTCATGTTCCCTCGACCCTGTAAATTTATAGATATTTGGTCTAATTATGTACCTCTAAACATGCCCGTGCCTCACCTGATGCTAAGCTCCACAAATCCTTTGTCTTTTTGACCTTGCAAATCTAGCATCGGTCACTCTAGTTGATAATCATGGCTTAGCCACTATCTACAAAGCCAACACGTGGAATAAGCATAAAAGAGAACTCTTTTGGGTCTTTCATGTGCATAAAACTCGCAACACCATCACCGCATGCTATAAATGGATGCAAACTTGAACTTCAGATTACAACTTATGGTGATCACATCAGCAATAAGCCAATATTGCTATTGCAGATGTGAAGACAATGTGATATTACTTTCCTCCCACACCTACATGTAGTCAAATTTACATTAATATTGCATCAGCTCCAAGTTTCATTTTTTCTTCTATTCTAATTTGCCGTCTCAACAATGTACTGTAGTTGTACTAGTAGGTTATCTTATCCAGATGTAAAGGGTGTGTTTCATGTCTAAGGAAAGACTTCTCACACTGATATTCCTAATTAACTAATCTCTTTTACAAAGCACAAAATGTAGACAACCTTATTGGATGTTCTTGTAAACTTCAAACCAAGCATTTTGATTTTCTCGAGGAGACTGGGTGGGATTTTGGACGGTTTCTATATACTCTTCCACCAGTTATGGTAGAGCAAATTGCTCCATTTCACTTTGTATCAATGCCTCAGATCGTATTTTTTGGAGGGCTACATCAAATGGTATATTCACAATCAAGTCAGCTTGGCAGTTGATTCGCTCTAGTAGGCCAGTGAAGGACTCGTTTCATCCACTTTGGAGCCCTATCATACTTACCACAGTCTCATTCTTTTGTTGGAGATTATGGCCGGATTTGATTCCGGTGGATGCTGTTATTCAGAAGAGAATAGACAGTGAGCTAGCTTCTCAGTGCCAATGTTGTTTTGAGATTGAGACAATCAGTCATACTTTCATTAGTAGCAGTATTCAAATCAGGTTTGGCAGCATTTTGACTGTCTTTTCTAGATCCCTATGATTGTTGGTGAGAGTGCATAAAGAGATTTCTGAGATGGCGATTTTCTGGATAGTTTACACGAAATGGGTGTATTCATATCATTATTCCTCTACTGATCTTCTGGTTCATATGTATAGAGAGGAATGATGCGAAACAGTGATATACCCATAAGACCCAGACGAATCATTAGGAGGGTATATTGTATGATCTCATTCCTTCACACTAGTGTTTGTTTCGACCATTACATTAGCGTGCGACACAGAGCTTGCGCTCCATCTTTTGGTAATTCTATGACTCTTCCTTCTGCTCCTCTCCCTACTATGGTTTGGTGGCGCACTCTATCGAATGGACCTGTCAAGATTAATACTGATGGATTTGTCAAGGATCGTATTGCCAACGAGGGAGGTATCATCAGGGATCACGAAGGTAAACGTATTGGAGCCTTATCAGCTCCATATAGACAGTGTATGATATTGGAGGTAGAGCTTAGAGCTATTCTAGATAGTATACTATTCTAGATAGTATAGAGCTTAGAGCTTAGAGCTATTCTAGGGATCTTGGTTTTCAGGCATTTGGGTTGAGTTGGACTCTATTGTGGCTATTCACTGTATTACCAAAGGTGGAGGACTATGGGATATTCAAGGCTTACTCAGATAGATTGTAGACATCATTTCATTTGACAGAGACACAATTTCTTATATCTATAGAGATGCAAACCAGGTTGCAGATGCACTTGCTTCAGAGGGCTGGGATCATCGAAATTTTCGAGTATATGGACCAGCAAACCTACCATGACACATCAGGAATCGACATATATGGATTGTCTAGCTTTCGATTTTTGATCTTTGTAACTTTCTTTTTGTTCACATTAGCATTTATTGTAAAGGAAGTAGTATTTCCTTTTTTATTACTTTCCATTTATAGGTTACTTTTATTGTAAGGGAAGTAGTACTTCCTCATTAATTGCTTTCATTGATATCATATATAACCACGGTATTCCTCTGCTATAAATGAGGGTATATTAATAAAATCTCGGAGGTACCGCTCTCCTTCTAATGAAAAAAAGACTAATCATTTTGACAAATATTGAATCCAAAAACACCTCCACAAAATAAGGCCTCATGAAAGTGGTCAAGTTTCAGCCATTTGGGCAAATACCTGAGCAGCAGCAGAAGAATGATTTGGTGTCATTTGTGGTTCAGCCCATGTGACAGTTGGCTTGTTACCATCGAGTCTGAAATCTGCAGTCAACATTTTTAACCTAGAATAATCAGCACAAGCATTGTTGAAATATTCAACAAAAGAAAATCCGCGATTACAGCCTGGGTTTTGAGGATCCTGTATTAAAGAATGAAATAAGCCACAAATTAAAGAAAATAAATCAGCTAATAAAATTGATAGCTTGCTAATATTTCAACATCAGAGGTAAAAATCAGACCTTTATGAGTTCTATGGTTTCTACACCAGGACCAATATCTTCAATGACTTCTTTAAAGTCGTCATCACTCCAACTCTTTGGGACATTACCTATGAACAATTTGTATTTAGCATCTGACACTGAACACCGTAAGGCTCTGCCCTGTACTCAGAAAACATAGAGAAAGTAACAAATGGAACCATTTCCAAAGCACAGTAGAACATGTATAAGACTAGGTATTTGCATGGCTCAATGTTATCTAAAACAGTTTCAAACAGAAGTTACAAATTTCACCTTGAATTCTTTGCTATGTAACTCTTCAATGGCCTTTTGTGCAACGTCTTTTGTTTTGAAGGCTACAAAAGCAAAACCCTTGCTTTCACCAGTATCCCTATTTTTCATAAGTCTTATCTGGAACATTATTAAGTTATCAGATGTTTACAGAAAATTGTAGAATATTATTTAAAGCACTTCAAGCATTAGTTGTTATGATTATCTATAAAACTTTTCTCCACCTCAAACCAAAACTGACCTCAAAAATTTCACCAAAGGGTTTGCAGAGCTCCCTCAAGTCTTCTTCTGAAATATTTTGAGAAAGTCCACCAATGAAAACTTCAGAACCATGAGGCGGAAGAGCAAGAAGTTCGGTATGCTTCTCCTTTTTGCCTCCTTTAATTTTAGCACCAGGTTTTCCTTCATACTCCACTCTCTCATTGCGATCATTACTTCTGTATCTCTCTGGTGACTGAATTTTCCTACAATCCCATTTTCTCATGTCCTCCTGCTCTTCTCCACCATTCTCCTCATCACCTTCTCCATCGTTTACACCTTCCATGAGTTCTTCAATATCATCATCTTCTTCACAATAATATTCATCATCAAGATCCACTTGATCCTCAATATCAGTATTTTCTGCCATGATTGCTTTCTGATCCAAGTTCTGTCACACACTAAATACAACTTGAGCCTTCCCTCCACAGCTATAATCTGCATGCTCACATTATTATTATGGCAGCTAGCAAATTATATAACCATCTGCAGAGTGCACAAATTAGGGTCGTATTTAAGTCTGAAGAGTTGATAATCACTTTTCTTGGTTTTTAGGCTTTTAGCAGTGAGAGATGCATTCCCAGTGCAACAATTATATTACTGGATCAGTTGTAAAATGAAATATCATTGTAGAAATACGCATGTGGTAGTGGTTAGATTTCAAAAGATAAAAAATTTACAGTATTCTAGTTTAAGCTAAAAGTGATTCTGAAGCCCCACTCCCCAGTTTCTTTTTCCTTATTTCCAAGAAGCCAAGCTAAAAAAAAAAAAAAAGAAGAAGATCAACCTTGTTTTGGCCTCTGCTGATTAGAAAACCTCTAGATTCCTAGAACAAATTACTTATCCCACACCCCAGCCCACGACAAAAGAAAAAAAAAAAAAAGGAACAAGAAAAAATTGCCACAGAAAGAAAAAGAGATCCAGGAAAAAGGGGGGAGAATTAACTTATGCAGAAAGGTCAAAAGAAGTGCAAAAAATTTTGCCAAAAATTCTATATCAATAAACAAACCATAGTTAGATGTTTGTTTTTTTAACTTTTATGGGTATACGACAAACAAAACTAAGCCCCTGTTTGTCACCCATTATTTGAAAAATTAAAGAGTTTTGAATAATCTTTTTCGAAGAATGGGGGGAGAAGTCCTTGCCGTATTAGGCACTAATCTATTTTTAACGTATAATTAGATCAGGAAGTGTGGTTAAAAAATAAAGAAATTTTATTGGTTTGTATGTAAAATATTTTATTGTGTGAATGTATGGTGGATAATGATGCTTTAAAGGGGTGCCAAACAGGCACTAAATCTATCAAAAGCATGCAATCAAATGAACACACCCTGAAATAGAGGCCTCAAAAGCCAAAATGTAGCATGAACAAAATGAAAAAAAAAAAAAAAAATTCAAAATTTCAGAATTATCTTCACATATTCAAGAATATCTCAAAACAAACATGTGAATTAAATGCCCCTACATTCAAGATTTTTTTTCAAAGGATTAAAGTGCAAATCACAAAAAAGCAGGTGTATATATATATAAATGTATCTATAAAGGGCAAACAGTGACAGTTTTTATATTTGAAGATTTGAGCAAGACTTTGCATACCCAAAATTTCTTTCCGTTGGGGACTAAGTGAGAACTGTCTCAAAGAGTGAAGCCCCTTCACATCCACTGCTCTGGCCGTAATTTGGTAGATTGGCCAGCATGTGCTTGCCATTTCTTCTACATTTAAACACAAATTAATGTTATAGAAGCATCTACATTGTTAAGAAACTTAGTATCATTAAAAATGCAGATATTTGTTGTTGAAGTCTGTTGGGGTGATGAGAGAATTTTTTTTTTTTTTTACACAAAATGAGTTAGCAGGAAATTCTATACAAATATAGATGATTTTATTGTTTCTAAAAATATTTCAGGTCTAAAAAAATTGGATAATTGGCACAAAAATGTCTCCATCTCGTCCTTATTGTGTCACATTTGACACTTGAATACTCGGAGATCGAATAATTTTATAATTCTTAACTCATTTTCATAGGTCCAGCTTCGATTAAAAGTTGGGGGCAACTTTTGAGTTATTTACAAGATTTTTAGATATTCAATTTCACTTTTGACATTTGAATCCTCATGTTGATCATTCTTTGTGCAAATAATTTTATAATTCTTCATTCGTTTTAATATGTCTAGCCTTTGACTAAAATTTGGCAGAAAATATTGTGTTAGTTACAAGATTTTTAGAAACTCACTTGTGACTAATTACTACATATATTCTCAGGGTAGAGAATTAAACATAGACCCCGTATGATGATCATTATTGAGAAAAAATGCGGTTTTGAATAGCGATTTTTGAAGAATGTGAGGTTAAAAAGTAAGAAAAAGTTTTGAGCTTACTTGTAAAATATTTTATTATATGAATGTGTGGTTGAAAATAAGTATGAGAATTAAAGAGTTATGTTTTCAGGGGATGTTGACTGAGACAGTTATCAAATTCATTCAGATGACCATAATAAGATAAGAATTTTGAATTATAAGTCCTAAAAAAATGAAGAAGAAATCTACGAAGTTGCAAAAATGATTGGTGTATGATCTATTACGGCATAATCACCTCAACCATGGTCTCGCAAGGCCACTGGTTGAAGATGGAGAAAGCTTTCCTGGAAGACTCTGTGTAGCATGATGAATGGTGGAATTGTTGTTCAATCCCCACCAGATGTACTCCTCTAGTAATGCTGTTAAAGCTTGTACTTCTTAAGTACTGGCCTCTGTAACTTCCGTAGCCATTCCCTAAATTGTAATTGAAGGTGTCAGGGACAGGGAAAGGGTACGATAAGCACTTTTTTGCTCCCGTGCTTTCCCTCTCTGGCGTTGACTGCCTCTGTCTTGGTGTGCTCTGATACCGGATCCTTGACTTGGCAGACTTAGTTGCGGCCATGTAATTAGGCATTGCACCCCTTGCAGATGTTGGGCCCTTAGGCTTATAATGGTAATCTGACCTTGTGCTTGTAGTTTGAGCCATGTGATAGCTTTTTTCTTGTCTTGCACAATGAGGACTTGCAGAGTGGACTTTAGGTCTTGTTTAGATGGTGAAGGTGTAACAGGGGAATACAGAAGTAAATTTTGGTGGGTAGCTCCTGCTCTATGAAGAGAGGAATTTGGTCTTAGTTGGTGTTGAGCACTTGAAATTCGGAAATTGGGAGCTAAATATGAATAAAGTTGTTGATTGTCGTCAATTTCAACAGTTTTAACAGTCCCTTTGATTTGTTGAGGCTCTTCCTCTGCTATCCCATGGCTTTGCTACCATCCATCTCTCTGGCCACTTTGTGTTTTCCACCAAGCTCATGTTCACTGCCTAATGATGAATTCCTACTACATCTCCATATCTGCTAAATACATTTTGACGAATACGATTTGCAAAATTAGCTATGCCAAATGGTATTTCTCTTAGAGGGGGCAAAAATGCTTCAAGGCAACAATAACAAGAATCACATTCCTAACCAGAATAAAAGGCATTGTAGATACAAATGTTTACTAGTACCTGTTTAGGCGAGGCGTGTGATAAATTTCTTTCACGCCCAGGGCAGCTTCGTTTCTATTCTGTAGCATTGCTTTCACTTCATTCATGGTATGCATACATTCATCCCAATCTTCCAGAATGCTGCTTCCATCCCTCGACTAGAATTTACAGTTGTCATCGAAAAATTACATGATTATATATCAAATTAAACTAACAAATATTTAAAAATAACATATTGATTCACGGGAAAGTTAACCCCTTTAGAGCATCTCCAACTCCAATAGACTTTATTTTTAAAGAGCAAATTTTGCAATTTAAAGCGCGTTTATAAATTTAGAGAGTAAAAATTTGTTAGTACTCCATGGGTTCTATATATATTTAACATTTAATTTTATTATCCTAAAAAAATATTTATTGTTTTCTCTATATTTTATGTTCACTAGCTTTCCTCCAAATTATTTTTCTTAATTGAAAATTGAAATACTTTGAATATGTTTAATTGCAGAGAATGAGTTTAACTCTCTAAATTTAGAGACTTAAAAATACACATTTTATTTTAAAATGTTAATTTAAAGAGTTTTTTGAAATATAATTTTAAGGGTTGAATCTATAAAACAGAGGAATCTCTTGAAGATACTCCAATATCTTGTGTCAGAGATGGAGAGAGACATGTCTTGGAGACATCGTGATTCCAAAACACTATTAGTGTCATTAAATGTCAATTTTTTGCTTCGTTCGCTAGCTCGCCTTGTGCGTTAGTAAAATTACCTGAGCTTGTCCACTAACAACAGCTTGCCTGCATCTCAAGGTCATCTTCACTTGCTTCCGAACATTGTGACCCCTTACCAAAGCTTGCAATTTTACATGCCCTTTTAATGCACATAGATCTCTTCTTGCCTTCACATATATAAGTAACAACCCAATCCACTGGCTGCTTAACTTGGCTATGCCTATATCAATGTAACATTAGAGTTTCATATATTTGACATGATAGAGGATTGAGTACTATCTTTGTCCTCGGACACAAATTAATGATGCAGTTTTCCTCTTATCAATTCAAGCAAATGTGGACTCCAATGCATCTACATCATTCTTCGGGTTTATGTACAAAATATTTTATTTGTGAATGTGTAATTAAAAATGAGTATGAGAAATAAATTGTTTTGTTTTTAAGGGAGTCGACCAAGGATGAAATAACAATTAGATCTATATATAATTGTGTTGGAAGAAAACGGGTCACCCATGTGGGTTGACCCGACCCAAGTTGCATAGAAATGAATTTTGGAGGGTGGAGTTGAAAATTAAATTTTAAAGTTAACCTCGCTCAATCAATAACTTCCATATATACCCACTCCACCAAAAAGAAAAGAAGAAGAAGAAGAAGAAGAAGAAGAAGAAGAAGAAGAAGAAGACTACCAACACATGCAAAAATTCGGGTTCCTTCAAAAAGTGAAAAATAGATGTAGGTGGAGGCTTCATTTTTGGGAATATAACATCTCAAATTTGGTTTTTGGATTGTAAACAACAAACTTCTTTCTTGGGGATTGAGTTTTTGACCAAACGGGTACAAGAGGGTACGTGTTGAAGGCAAGTAATCAATAGGTAAGTAATTCAACCTTGTTTTGGGACTTTCAAGTAAGTTTTACAACTTGAATTCTGTCAAAAGCATGCAAGCACATTTTATATTGGCATCAGAGCCTAAGTAGGTTGTTTTCTTGCTTAAACACATGCTAAAAATGTTTTAGAACGATTGAAATGCATGAATTCCGATTTTCTTTCAAAGCTTGAATGTCGTTAATGGCAACTTTTGATATACTCCATAAAAATATTTGAAATTTATAATGTATATTCATGACATTATGGAGAACATATTTGGAAAATTTCACTTCGTTTGGATTTGTATTTTGGGAGAAAAATCGAACCCTATTTGAGAGAATCAAAACTTCATCGCATGATAATTTCTTACACGTTAAGTTTCATGCCGTCTATTTTATGTGTTTGGATAGATCTTCTTGATACCTTTCCAATGGTATAAAGAACATAATTTTTGACATTAAATTGAAGAAGTTATGACATTTCGAAATTTTGACAGAAATTTGAAAAATCTATCTTTTTGAGAACGATGATTAGAACTCGAGAAAAAAAAATTGAAATTGAAACTGAAACTGAAACTATTGTAGTGAAGTTGGGAATTCCAAATCTTATTTAAAAAAAATTTCATGTTGGTCCCTCAAATATTGCAAGTGCAATATGAAAAATTGTGTGTTGGTCCCCACACTTTTTGGATGTTAAATATTCCAAATATTATTTGAAAAAATTGCTGTTGGTCCTTCAAATATTATAAAATGTAATTTGAAAAATTACATATTAGTCCCAACGCTTTTGAATGTTGTTTATTCCAATATCAATTTGAAAAGTTGTATGTTGGTCCCAAAATGAATTTTTTTTTTTTTGGTCTGGGAAACTGATTATTCCAAATTAAATTTAAAAAGATCGCGAATTGGTCCCTCAAATATTCTTGATTTTTTATGCAATTAAAATAATTTTCAGATAAAAAAAATATTTATATATACAATTTTTGAACTTGACTAACTTCTAATTTTTTTTTTTAAATTAAGAATATTTTTGTTAAGTAGTATTTGCCTAGTGAGAGTTTTTTTAGTGCTCTCAACTTTTTTAAATGAAAAATACTCCGAAAGTATTTAATATACCGCATTTTCTATACGGTCATGAGTGATGGATTTTAATTAGGTTATATGATTCATTGTGACTTGTTTTTAATTATTGTGCTTGATCAGATATGGTTGGATCAACGGGCATTTTTAGAATCCTTAGAGGGAAAGCTAGTAGAGTATGGGCTGCGAAACTTGTTGAAAAAGTACGTGCTTATAGAAACTATGAAATGGATCTATAACATAACCTAGTACAACACATAAAATATCTTAAAACAATTCATCGAGAAGTGATACATTTGGGATAGCCTATGTGTATCATCTTATGAGGACGCTTCCTATTGGCATGATATTGCTATTGAAGTTTTGGATTATTCACAACCTCTACGCTACAGTTATTTGATCAGGATTTTGAAGAGGAAATAGAATTCAGGAAATGAGAATTTTATAATTAATTTAGATATGTATGGTTAGTTCAAAATCGTCAAACAATATCAATATGATATTTTATTTTTCCATGTTTAGTATATGTTTTTATGACTCATGTTAAATCTCTAAGATTGCGTAGAATTTGAATTGTTCAATATGTAAACTTTTTCATATGAGTCCTTGAATGAACAATGTTTTGAGTTCATATGTTAAGAGATAAGATCATATATGGATTAATATATCCAATGGTTGATGCAATTAATATCTGAATTAAATTAATTCAAGATGCTTATCCTCCTTTAATAAATCAGATAAAATTAGGGTATTTTTGGTAATGATTATGAGAATCAATTTTTTGACCGTTTATAGAGAAAAATGGATCCTACCTAGGGGTGTCAACGAGTCGAGCCGAGCAGAGCGGAGCAAAAGCTCAGTCAAAAAATTAAGGCTCGATTCAAACTTTCGGCTTGGGCTTTACTGAGTCGAGCCAACTCGAATATTTATTTATTTATTTATTTATTTATTTATTTATTTATATCCATAGCTTCCGGGCAGCTTTATATAGCTGCCTATTGGCAGAAATGTTGCCTTAATCGGCAGCAAATTTGCTGCTAGGTAGCAGATTTAGCTGCCTGTTGCCTGTTGGTAGCAGAAATGCTACCTGGCTTTTGCTGCCGACAGGCAGCTTACTGCCTTAACTAGCTGCCAAAAATGTTGAATATATATATATATATATATTTTATTTATTTTTTTTTTTTATTTATATATTGGCTCGAGCCCGATTGCCATCTCTAGTTCTACCTACGAGTAAAGAAGTCAAAAATGACGAATGACTTAGGGAAGTAATGATAAAAAAATTGATTTTTTTTGGGGTGAAAAAAATTAGAACCAGACAAGGGCTTAATATGTTTATGAGGTGAGTATAATTTGCGTTATTAATTCATCATATTAGGAATAATATGGATCTATAAGTAAGAATTCACTTATAAGTAAACTAACCTATGTGTTAAATTGTTGAATTAAAAATATCAAATAAGTGAAAAGATCACTTTTATGTAAATAGTAAAAAAATATTTTCATAAGTAAATTCACCTAGAAGTAAAAAATTATTTATAAATAATGAAACTATAGTTATATCCCTTTTTTTATTTTTCAATATTTGTGCGTTTATCTAATGCGACGTGACAACCTACATCATACAAAACAACATATCATAATCCACAAAATATGCCCAAAACTCCTTTTACTACTTTTATATATACTAGTTTTTGGCCTGTGCATTGGTGTTATTTTAAAGGCAATGTTAACGTCTTCAATGTCAAGAATTAATGAGAGAGATTTGCATCAATTGAATAAACAATGATGTGTAGATATACATGTTAGAGTATAAAGTATACTTGCATATTTATTCATTATTGCCACATGCATTTGTACACATATCTTATAGAAATAGGTATCTATATAGTTAGTATTTAATTTTGAAATGATTCTTTTATACATATAAAGAAGAAAAGAAGTGAAACGTCAGAATCACAACACGGTGAAGTAGAAGTTAGCAACAAAATAATTAATAATAATAAAAGCTCAAATTCTCTTAGTTGCCAAGTACATTCACTGTGTACTTTGTAAAGTTGTGGAAATACAAGTGATGTATAATGGGAATTATAAGCATAAAGAAACTTATTAGAAGATAGAGGACTTGGAAGAATTATCGATAATGGTGAGTGAGATGCGGTTGATTAGATGTGTAATTTGGAGAATACTATTTGCTTTTTCGGTTTGAACATTCTTTCCTTGTTAATGATTGAACCAAATAATTATATTCAACACCACCGGACTATGTTGCATAGATAGGTTCTCATTAGAAACTACTTCAAAATGTTTTTGGATGTAAAAAGTGCAATTTTTTTGAAATTTTCTAAAGCAGACATGAGATAAGAATCTTGTGTTTCACTGACAAATAATACTCGATCATCAATCCACCCCTAAGAAAAATAATAACAAATAATACTCAATCATCAATCTATCCCTAAGAAAAATAATAACCTTTCACAATTGAGTGAGTGAAAGATGTGGCAAGAGTGGGAGTTCGAATTGTGAACAATCAGTTTGTAAATGACCGATCATAGTCTATTTTGAAAAGTAAAATAACATATTATAGTGAATGTTGGTTAAGGAATTACCTGTAAATGCTGTGTTGTCTTTGAAGTATATATTTTTTCACAAC